ATGTAGATGTTTGTGAAAAATGCTTTCTATGTTTTGGAGGGATGATTATTTTTTAAATCATACCCTATTATTGCATCAACATTTGTTAATATTTTACTAGCCTATATTTAAGGGTGGATAATTGTATCAGTTGTTTATTGCAACAATACATAATTACAATAACTTTGTCTAGTGCTCTTATGAAAGTTTATAGCATGATTTGTGAAAATGTAACTGTACTGAATGACAGCATAGACTTCTTCATGGCTAGTTTTTGCGTATTTCATTTCATTCTGTAACTTACTTGTTCTACAGATTTTTCCAATCTTTTGCAAATAAGATAATATAAAGATTTGCTGACTCTAAACTGAAACTTCCTACTTTATTAACTTTCTAAAGTGTTAAATGAAGTGGAAAAAACAAGTCCAAAAAAGCAACATGGAGGCCGCGCCCTCACTCACAACTGCACAACTCCACCAGCGTCTCGCAGCGATCATTTTCTTAAAGGGACGCTAAACACTCTTGCAAACTGTCTAAACTGAATTATACATGTCATGCAGGCATTCATATGAGGACTTTAACAGCAAATTAGTCAAAGAACAAATTTTATTTTTGAACATGAAACATTTACAGAGGTCCGAACCTCGGTGGCCTCATAGCTGGTGGCCGTGTCCATAGTGTCAGGGCCGGAGTGGGACTCATTTTCAGCCCTGGAGTTTCATGCCTTAGATCGGACCACTTTTTTTTTTTTTTTTTTTAATCTATTATTCGCTCGCATATCTCCTACAACGGAGGTGTTTGGTTTTGTTTTTTTGTCAGGGGAGTCAAAAGATAATTACATCATCATTAGGGTTGCCAATTAACTTTGGAAATGGAAAATAAGGGCTAACGTTAATTGTGATTCTTTCTCTTTTATTCTTTAAGAACATAGTGTTTATTCTTGTAGAAAATAAGTGTTTATTCTTTAACAAAATAAGGGATGATTCAAATATTTGTACTGTACAATAATGTAGGCCTATATCGGCCTGCAGTTAAAAAGTTCTCAGAAACAATCACATTTGTTTTGCTTAACTCATTTATGTACAATTATTCAAAAAAATGTTTAATGTCATACAAAAAATGCCATCGTCCTGAATAAATTTTACCATTATAGAATTGTGACTTTACAAGGGGTAGTAATTTAGAAGGTGAAAATACTGTGAAGTTACAAATGGCATGGAATTTGAAAGCATAACTGAAGGTCTATGAAACGTCAGTCAATAAAGCATTTTTTTTTAAACAATGGCACTTTAAGTTTAGAACTACAATATTATTTCAACCATATAGCATGTGAATGAATAAAAATGCATACTTTTCAATGAAAGAACACTTAGAGTGTAGGTTGCTTCTGGTGCTTGGATTTGAAGACCACAACTCCCGTGATTCCACACTCAGTCACAGCATCATCAAACTACACCTTTGTTTCTTTGTTTGTTTTGAATATGTGCCCTCTAGTGGTGAAAACTTACATACTGTGCCTTTAATAAAGTACAATATAAACTATACTACTACTGATAAAATGCCATTGTGGGGACAGTTGAATAAAGTGAGTTCTCTAAATAAAAATATATTAAAGGAAATATTGTTTATATCCTAGAGAAAATCAATGAATGAAGACATTTAAAACACCACTTATACAACAAGCAATAAATTAAAGTCACAAAACACTATTTATCTAAAACATTCAATCTGTTAGATCACATACTTTTAAAAAATTAATTCAAGAAAAACTTGTGCCTCTTACATGATTACAAACCTGAGCAGCATTTCCCCTCATTGACAGACAGTAGCACAGAGCTCAAAAGCTGAAGTGCTACTATCAGCTAAAAAAATCATTTCAGAATCACCCGAAAGCAATCAGCACGGTCACACTGCAGCATTACAAGGCAGGAGATTTAAAAGGCAAAAATGGAAAATAAGGTGGCGTGAAGGAGTCATGGGAAGATGACAGACACTGTAATGTTTTTTTTTTTTTTTTTTACCGGTGTCGGGAGTCAACCAGCTCTGGACGTAAACTGAGCTTTTTGAGAGTTTCATAACCAACCACCATGACTATTGCTGTGGGCGCTGAGGATATGATGCCAGCAGAGAGGCCTTTGGTCATCCCCCAGAATCCTTCCTCTCTGATCAGTTGGTTAAAGGTCTCAATGACTGATGTCCTGCCCTCCACCTGCCCAAAAAAACAGTCAGATATTTGGTTATTGGGATTTCTGGGGTTTAAGAAAAATTTACGTCAAAAACGAGAGAATTGGGGAAAGCACACATCAGAAAAATAAAAATATACAAGTGTAAAGAATTACACACATACGTCAAATCAGTTCTGTTGTGTTGCTGGTTTGCATTTGTTGCATTTGCATTTGTTAACCTCATTTTACATAAGGCGGTTTTTGATAGTCATCTGTGTTTTGTTGTACATGTAAACACACTCATGCCAGCTATACATATCGGTTGTCTGATTTTTTACTGCGTTTAATGGAAATCACCTGAACCCGGGCCCTGATGACATCCATGGGGTTGGTGACAGTGGCAGCTGCCAGAGGTCCAGCCACTGCCTGCAGCACTAGATGAGGGCAGTTACTGGGAGCCATCTTAGACAACTGTTCTGTGGAGCCAATAAGAGCTAATGAAATTTCAACTGCTTCAGAATCAACTGACAATCATAGCAGTCTCTAATGAGACGGGCAGATTGCCAACCAAGACGACTTCTGTCCATGTGACTCTTAACAATATTTTATCAATCAAAACATGAAGATTCAAAGTACATAAAACTGGCATTGCCATTTAAATACATAAACAATCTGCTACTAAACTGAGCAAATGATTTGAAATGTTACACTACCTTTCAAAAATTTTTTGGTTAAAAAAAAAAAAAAAAAAAGTATTTTATGATCCCCAAGGCTGCATTTATTTGATCAAAACTACAGTAAAAACAGTAATATTGTGATATATTATTATAATATAAAATATCTGTTTTGTATATTACTGTTTTAAATGTAATTTATTCCTGTGATTGTGAAGCTGAATTTTCAGCAACCATTTACCCCAGTTATCAGTGACACACGATCCTTTAGAAATCATTCTAATATACTGATTTTGCTCAAGAAAGATTATTTATTATTTTCAATGTGGAAAACCATTGCGATGCTTAATTTTTTTGTTGAAACCATGACAGAATTTATATGAAACAGAAAATTTGTAACAGTGTAAAATTCTTTACTGTCACTTTTGATCAATTGAATGCATCATTGACATTTTTTATATTTATCAAAAAAGTGATGCTGAGGATCTCTTACCTGCATAGAAGTGGTAAAACGGCCACCAAACGGCACTGTTGGGGATGTATGTGGGGAGAGACACCACATATCCTCGATAGAAGCCACAAATGCCACCCGCAGCAAATATCTGCCCAATAATGTCTCTAGTCTGACTGAAAAATACAGAGTGTGTTGCTCCCATTTTGGGTTTGACTTTAAAGCGGGTCAAATGCTCCCCTTGGCCCTGCATCATGAGCTGCTACGATATGACGTCTATGGGAACAGTAATGCTCTGGGCCACCAGTGACGCCGAACCTCCCGCCACCAATGATTTCAGTGTATTGTCTTTAGAATAGTTGGAGACATATTTCCTTACCAGCTCATAAGTGGTTATGTACGCCTGCCCTGATATGAGTGTGAACATGGTCACCATGAAGCCCCTGTAAAGTCCTCTCAGACCCTCAGCTCTCAGAATCTTTCGGAAGGCATCGTAGGTCCCAGTGTAGAGAGACTTCCCCTTCTTAACCTGCAGCCTGGTGCGGATCAGTGTGGCCGGGTAGACTGTGGCACGGATGGCCATGGTCATAAAGACTCCAAAGGAGTAGAACTTGCATTTGTCCAAGTCCTCCCATTCTATGATCTGAATGTTGCGCTTCTGCTGCATGTTTCCTGAATGTAATGCCCGGCATGAGTCCCAGGTCACCTGGTAAATACCAGGGGATGAATACATATGTAAATGGGATGGCTGACCCAAAATATACATTGTCATCATTTACTCACCCTCATGTTGAAACTGAACCTGTTGAACTTTCTTGCTTTTGTGGAACACATAAATAGATGAAAAGCAAGTCATACAGGTTTGGAACAACATGAAGGCGAGTAAACGATGATTGAAATTGATAAGTGATGATTGAATGAGATGAGTGAATTATCCCTTTGATTAATAGTATTAAATCGAGAATGTGATTAGGAATTGAGGTTGCACTACTACAAATGTAAAGAACTTCAAAATTTTTCAGTCTATACAAATGTTCTTATTTGTGTTTAAAAAGTAAAATAACAAATACAAAGTCTTCATGAAAACATTCCAAAATGCTTAAATGTGGTCTTATTGTTATTAAGTGCTCTTTGTCTGCTTTAAGTGAAGTAACTTCACTGTACTTAAAGCAGACAAAGACCACTTATAAATAATAATAATAATAATAATAATATTTTTTCTCAAACAACCATAAGATCTGATATCAGATCAGATGAATGTGTACACAATGGTCTCGAGCAACACCAAGCATCCCCATCTTTCCCTGAGCGCCCAAAAACCCCTCTCCCCCTCTCACCTGTTCTCCTCCTTAAACGTCCTCCAGGTGAATTCAATTCTCCATACATTGTCAATCAGACGAGAACATGCTGCAAAAAGGTTCCTATAGGCGGGGCCAAAGCCCAACTAAGAAACGAACTCCCCCAGCGTTCATCACAATACTGTCCAGATCTTAAATAAATAATGTCAAGATAATCCATTATAAATTAAGTGGATTTATTATGGTATTCATTGTGTGTTATACATAATCATACTCTTAAAAGTTATAACCACAAATGCATAAGTATTATAATGTATTATAAATGTTATGGTTATTTATGAGATGATACAACATAGTATTAAGCTTTTTTATAATGCTCTATGCATTAATTATAATGCCTTAAGAAAACCCTTAAAATGTATTATAAATACAGGCTTCATAGAAAGTGTTACCGGATTGACAAACAATTGAGGAAAGAAGAGAGAACATTCAGTTGGTGGGTTTTGCTCTTATATACTTACATTTGGAGTT